AAATCAGGCCAGGTGTGGTGGCTCATGCCTGTAATCTTAACACTTTAGGAGGCCATGTTGGGCAGATCACCTGAGGTTGGTAGTTCAAGACCAGCCTGGCCAACCTGGTGAAACCCCATCTCTACTAAAAATACAGAAATTAGACAGGTATGGTGGCAGGCGCCTGTAATCCCAGCTACTCAGGAGGCTGAGGCAGGAGAATCGCTTGAACATAGGAGGCAGAGGTTGCAGTGAGCTGAGAGCACGCCATTGCACTCCAGCCTGGGCAACAGAGCAAGACTCAAGCTCAAAAAGCAAAACAAGATCAAAACCATGCTTTTTTTTTTTCTTTTTCTGAGACAGGGTCTCACTCTGTCGCCTAGGCTAGAGTGCAGTGGCGCGATCATAGCTCACGGCAGCTTCGACCTCCCAGGCTCAAGCGATCCTCCGTCCTCAGCATCCCAAGCAGCTGGGACCACAGTCATGAGCCACCATGACTGGCTTTTTCCTGTCATTTATTTTGATGCTGAAATTGTCCCAGATTTGATCAGTGGATGCCCCTGGCTGACCTCTTGTCATTTCGACAAGCCCAGTCATTCTCTAATCACTTCCTTTCTTTCTGGCTCAACAAGCTATTTCAGGCTCATCTTGTTTCTCCCTGTCTCAGCTCTGAATTCGCCATTTCTTCAAGAATACTTGGTTTCTTTTTAAGGAGGAATAGTATTTAGACACCAGGATCTCCATGTTAGGCGCATTCAATGCAATTACGGTCATTCTACCCAGGGTCCACTCGGTGGACACACATTTATACACACACATAAATGTACATATTTACATCTGTTTATTTTTCTTTCTTTCTTTTTTTTTTTTTTGAGATGGAGTTTCACTCTTGTTGCCAGGCTGGAGTGCAATGGCGTGATCTCGGCTCACTGCAACCTCTGCCTCCCAGGTTCAAGTGATTCTCCTGCCTCAGCCTCCCGAGTACCTGGGATTACAGGTGTGCGCCACCATGCCCGGCTAATTTTGTATTTTTAGTAGAGATGGGGATTCTCCATGTTGGTCAGACTGATCTTGAACTCCTGAACTCAGGTAACCCTAACTCTCGGCTTCCCAAAGTGTTGGGATTACAGGCATGAGCCACTGCGCCCGGCCTACATCTGTTTATCTCTTTATCTGTCTACATAAACTGGGGAAAAACAAGAGTTTAGATTTAGACCTTAAATTACAGTCTAGGGCCGGGCGCGGTGGCTCAAGCCTGTAATCCCAGCACTTTGGGAAGCCGAGGCGGGTGGATCACGAGGTCAAGAGATCGAGACCATCCTGGTCAACATGGTGAAACCCCGTCTCTACTGAAAATACAAAACATTAGCTGGGCATGGTGGCACGTGCCTGTAATCCCACCTACTCAGGAGGCTGAGGCAGGAGAATTGCCTGAACCCAGGAGGCGGAGGTTGCGGTGAGCTGAGATCGCGCCATTGCACTCCAGCCTGGGTAACAAGAGCAAAACTCCGTCTCAAAAAAAAAAAAAAAAAATTAGAGTCTAAAAACCCAAGTTTCATCCTCGCCTTTTTTTAACCTTTCCACATATATATGTGTATATGTCTATTTTTTGAGACGGGATCTCATTCTGTCTCCCAGGCTGGAGTGCAGTGGTATACTAACAGCCCACTGCAGCCTCAGTCTCCTGGACTCAAAACATTCTCCCACCTCAGACTGCTGAGTAGACTGGACTACAGGCCCTCGCCAATATATCCAGTAATTTTTTTTTTTTTTTTTAGACAGAGTCTCGCACTGTCACCCAGGCTGTAGTGCAGTGGCATGATCTCAGCTCACTGCAATCTCTGCCTCCTGGGTTCAGGCAATTCTTCTGCCTTAGCCTCCTGAGTAGCTGGGACTACAGGTGCACGCCACCACATTCAGTTAATTTTTTTGTATTTTTAGTAGAGACGGGGTTTCACCATGTTGGCCAGGATGGTCTTGATCTCCTGACCTCGTGATCCGCTCGCCTTGGCCTCCCAAAGTGCTAGAATTACAGGAGTGAGCGACTGGGGCCAGCCAATTTTTTGTTTTGTTTTGTTTTGAGACAAAGTCTTACTCTGTTGCCCAGTGTGGAATTCAGTGGCATGATCTCGGCTCACTGTAACCTCCGCCTCCCAGGGTCAAGCAATTCTCCTGCCTCAGCCTCCTGAGTAGCTGGGATTACAGGCATGCACCACCACGCCTGGCTAATGTTTGTATTTTTAGTAGAGATGGGGTTTTACCATGTTGATCAGGCTGATCTCGAACTCTTGACCTCGGGATCTGCCCACCACAACCTCTCAAAGTGCTGGGATTAGAGACGTGAACCACCATGCCTGGACAATTTTGTGACTTTTTAGTAGGGACAGGGTTTTACTATATTGGCCAGGCTGGTCTCAAACTTCTGACCTTGTGACCTGCCTGCCTCAGCCTCCCAAAGTGCTGGGATTATAGGCATGAGCCAAGGTGCCTGGCCAAAAAAAGCATCTGAATCAAGTGATGGACGTTGGTACTACCAGTCATGGCTCCGACAGACATTGGCTACAGTGAGAACACAGCCACATTTTTGTGGTATTTCTGTCCAAAGCGTGTCGCGGTGGTCTCATCATCAGGAAGAAGTGGACAAACCCAAATGGAAGGACAGTCTAGAAAATAACTTCTCTGTAATCTCCAAAATTAGAGGTCATGACACTCAGAGGCTACAAATAGTTCCAGATGGAGGGAGAACAGAGACATGACACCTGGGTACAGCATTTCACAACTTATCAGTTTTGTTTGTTTGTTTGTTTTTTGAGATAGAGTCTCATTCTGCTGCCCAGGCTGGAGTGCAATGGCGCGATCTCGATCTCGGCTCACTGCAACCTCCGCCTCTCGGGTTTAAGCAATTCTCCTGCCTCAGCCTCCTGAGTAGCTGGGATGACAGATACGTGCCACCACGCCCAGCTAATTTTTGTGTTTTTAGTAGAGATGGAGTTTCACCATGTTGACCTTGTGAACCACCCATCTCGGCCTTCCAAAGTGCTGGGATTACAGGCATGAGCCACTGTGCCCAGCCAATTTTTTTTTTTTTTTAAACCTTAAAAGTTAATACTTTTTGGACATTGGAGAGCAGTTTGAATTTTTTTTTTTTTTTTTTTTTTTTTTTTTTAGTTGTTGAGACGGAGTCTTGCTCTGTTGCCCAGGCTGGAGTGCAGTGGCGTGAACTCGGCTCACTGCAGCCTCCACCTCTTGGGTTCAAGTAATTTTCATGGCACACCGTCCTGAGTAGCTGGGACTACAGGCACCTACTACCATGCTCGGCTAAGTTTTTTGTATTTTTAGTAGAGACAGGTTTCACTATGTTGGCCAGGCTGGTCTCAAACTCCTGATATCATGATCACTGGCCTTGACCTCCCAAAAAGTGCTGGGACTACAAGCGTGAGTCACGGTGCCCAGCCTATTTATTTATTTTAGAGATAGGATCTGGCTATGTTGCCCAGGCTGAAGTGCAGTGTCTGTTCACAGGCCAGATCCCACGACTGATCGACACAGAACTTGTGAGCCCTGTTTCTGAGCTGGGCTGGTTCATCTCTCCTTAGGCAACTTGGTGGCCCCTGCTCCTGGGAGGTCACCAAACTGGTGCTGAACTTAGCAAAGGTGCAGGTACCTGGCATACCACACTACAACCCGGAACTCCTGGGCTCCAGCGATCCTCCTGCCTCAGCCTCTGGAGTAGCTGGGACTACAGCCACAGCACCCAACATTTCTGTTTACAGCTGGGTTGAAGACCTAATCTCCAATATGCAACTTTGCTGAAAAGGCCCTTGCTGAAATGGAGATTTCCTTTTACACGTTTATTAATATGTTGCTGGTATACCCAAGGTACTTGTGGAGGTGGGGGGTACTGAGACCCCTGAGGGCACAGCAGACTGACTCGTGATCTTGAATCAGAATGCTGGGGATAGTAGAGGTACTATTCAAGATGTTAGGAGGGCTGGGTGCTTTCAGAAGCTGACACTGGAGGCCAGGAGTTCAAGACCAGACTGGGGACCACAGAGACACCCCATGTCTACAAAACATTTTAAAAACATTTCCTGGGCATCATGGTGAATGCCTATAGTACCAGCTACGCGAGAGACTGAGGAGGGAGGAGCCGTTGAGCCCAGGAGTTCGAGGCTGTGTGCGCTATGATTGTACCACTGCACTCCAGTCTGGGTGACACAGTGAGTCTAATAGCAAAAAATGTGGGCTGGGCGCGGTGGCTCACACTTGTAATCCCAGCACTTTGGGAAGCTGAGGCGGGCGGATCACTACGTCAGGAATTCGAGACCAACACAGCGAAACCCCGTCTCTACTAAAATACAAAAATTAGCTGGGCGTGGTGGCAGGTGCCTGTAGTCCCAGCTACTCAGGAGGCTGAGGCAGGAGAATCGCTTGAACTTGGCAGGCGGAGGTTGTAGTGAGCCACAATCACGCCACTGCACTCCAGCCTGGGTGACAGAGTGAGACTCTTTTAAAAAAAAAAAAAAATTAAAAATTAATAACGTGAGGAAGAATTTGCCAGGGATATACTTTCTTTTTTTTTTTTTTGCTGACGTAAGATTATATTTTTATCTGTGGATGATGCCACTCAAGGTCCCAAGGACAACCCTTCAGCATGGGGGCTGGGGCACCTCGTGTCTCGGCATCTGAGACAATGCCTTCCTTCGCTTCTGTCGTCTCCTTCCCTCTCTCCCTCTATTTCTGAGACAAGGTCTTGCTCTGCTGCCTAAGCTGGAGTGCAGTGCCGTGATCCTATGGCTCACTGCAGACTTGAACTCCTGGGCTCAGCCGATTCTCCTGCCTTGGCTTCCCCACCGAGCCCGGCTCCGCCCCTACTTCGGCAAGGCGTGGGCAGAGCGCCCTCTTGCGGCGAAGGGAGGAAGGGGGCTGAATGTGCTCCGGGCCCGGCTGAGGGTTCTAGGTCGCAGCAGGGCCTCCTCCTTGGCCCGATGGGGGCGGGGCCTGCCAGGGAGTGCCTTGCGGGGAGGGAGGGCAAAGGGCCATGTCTTGCACTTGCCCCACCCGGCTGCCAAGAGTTCCAGTCACCAGGCCACCCTGAGTCTGGGCCCTTGAGGGTAAGTGTTCTGAACCCAGCTGCCTCGTCCTTCCCTGACGATGGGGTGAGAATTCCTTTGCTCCTTGGGGGTCCAAATATCCTGCCCACCCTGTTCGCACGGACGCCCGGCAGGGGCCACACCTGCCACCTCCTCTTCCTTTCCATAGGTTGAGACTGGGAGACTGGGGCAGCAACCCGGGGCAGGTACAGAGCGCCTCAACCCCCTCCGCACCTGACATCAGCATCAACGTCAAGGCCAGGGCAGCAGGGCCCAGCGCAGGACACCTCTTCCAGACAAGACTTGATCACCGCCTCCTCCTCTGTCACCCTGCGCCACAGCCCAGAGTCCCAGGCGGCTGGAGCACTGGGGGACGCCCAGACAGAGCCTTCCCTGGACCAAATCCTCCAGGAGCGGGATGAAGCCATTGCCAAGTAAGAGGAAGCTGCTTTTGTGGGGTGGGAGCTCCCCTGCAGGGGCTTCCTTCCCTCCTCTCCTTCCCCTCCCTCTTTTTTCGAGACAAGGTCTTGCTCTGTTGCCCAGGCTGGAGTGCTGTGGCGTGATCCTATGGCTCACTGCAGCCTGGAACTCCTGGGCTCAATACATCCTCCTGCTTCGGCCTCTTTTAGTAATGGGATGACAGGCAGGAGCCACAGTGCCCGGCTCTGCTCCCACCTTTCACCTTTCACAAGACGTGGGTAGAGCGCCCTCTTACGGTGAAGGGGGGAAGGGAGCGGAGTGTGCTCTGGACCTGGGAAGGAGAGGGGACTCGTCTGGCATTCTGGAAGGAAAGCCACACAAGCAGCAGTCCTATCACTGAGGTAGGGGCTGTGGCGACACCTGCCCACACCCAGGGCTGAGCCACAGGGTCCAAGCCTCAGCTGTTCTTCTACTCACAGGAAGCGGGCAGTGGAGGCGGAGCTGCACACGTGCAAAGCCCGGCTGCATGCTGTGGAGGCCCAGCTGCTGGAGGTCCTAGAGGAGAAACTGAGGCTGAGGCGGGAGCTGGAGGCCTGGGAGGTAGGGGGAGTGCTGTCAGAGCCTGGGAGGTGTGGGGAAGAGGGCACAGCCACAGCCTTGAACCTGCTTTCCTGCCCACAGGAAGACATGCAGCGGCTGGTGTGGCAGCAGGTCCAGAATCAGCTGCAGAAAGAGGCTGAGGGCACTCGGGGAGCCCACGGGGACGCCAGAGCTGCCAGGACCCCCGGGCCTAGATTCTCCCTGGGTCGGGGACGTTGGTGGTGACACAGACCTCAGCCCAGGACTGTGGGAGTAGTGTCTTTATTCATTAAAGCCTGAGGTCTGAGCACCCCTGAAAAACCTGTGTCCACTCAGTGCCCGTCTGAGTCCTTCTGTGCCCAAATGTGCAGCAGGCTGCAGGGACTTGAAGCCTGGGGTTTTGTGTCTCCTCTGTTTTTTTTTTTTTTTTTTTTTGAGACAGAGTCTCGCTCGGTCGCCCAGGCTGGAGCGCAGAGGCAGGATCTCGGCTCACCGCAATCTCCGCCTCCTGGTTTGCAGTGATTCCCCTGTCTCAGCGTCCCGAGTAGCTGGGATTACAGGTGGCACCACCATGCCAGGCTAAGTTTTGCATTTTTAGTAGAGACGGAGTTTCACCATGTTGGCCAGGCTGGACTCGAAATCCTGGCCTCAAGTGAGCCTCTTGTCTCGGCCTCCCAAAGTGCTGGGATTACAGGCGTGAGCCACTGTGCCAGCCCCGCTTCTTGCCAGCAACTCTTAGACCAGGAAGCCTCGGATGGCAGCTATGAAGTCCTGTGGGCGGTCAGCGTGGATCCAGTGGCCAGCGTTAGGCACCGTCTGCATCTGGGCCCGAGGGAAGAGCCGCATAATCTCAGGGTGGTGGCTGGGACTGTGCGTTGCAGCAAAGACCATCAAGAAAGGGTGAACGTGGGAGGAGGAGGAAAGAGACAAGCGGAAGCAGAGTGGGAAGAAATGGACAGGGCTGTGTGAGCCCACATACCTGGTGCTATTTCCGGCCTCTCGGCCACCCCCCTTCCACACCCAAGGCCTACCCTGGTAGGGTCCCCAGACTGGGGACTGGGTGAATAAGGCATGCACCTCCCACTACCCAGGCTGGCTTACTGCACGAATTGGGAGTTTCCACCACAGAGAAAGAGCGTTGGCCCGAGGTAGGACTCCTGCCTCTGTGGGAAGGCCAATATCTTGTCTAGGTGCTGGGTCAGGGCATCCAAGTTCACCCTCCACACGAAGCGCCCATCTACCTCCACCAGGTTAGTGAGCAGGAACTGCCGCACAGCCATGTCCTGCGGGGGTCCAGCAGTTGGGGGGGTTCCTTGTGTGGTCTGGGGGTACCACTCTTCCCTTGACAGGTCCTAGGTCTATAATACCATGTGTGTCGGGGTCGGGGGGGCTTGGGTGTATCACCTGGACGACAGAACTGAGCTGTTCGTCAGCCAGTTTTCGGGCACGGGAGCGGGGCAGCTCATCTGGGATGTTGATGGTCCTCATGGCTGTCACATAGGTTGCAAAGTTGGAGACGCCTGTGGTTTCCACTGGGCTGATATCTACAGCAATCAGGCGTTCCACCAGCTCTGGCTGTGGGAGAGAACTGAACTGAGACCAGTCTTAGGGCAGACACAGTGAGTCTCAGGCACGGCTCCTGGAGCCTGAACTTGGTCATCCTAGGCTCGTCTGAGTGCCAGGTTGGCTGTGGGGAACGCAGGGTATATACTGAACACGGGCGGCTCACCCTCTGTAGTGCCAGCAGCATGGCTGTCTTCCCTCCCATGCTGTGGCCAACGATGACACAGGGTACCAGGCCCAGCTGGGGCAGGAGGTCCTGCAGGTCCTGGCTCATGATCTCATAGCTCATGTCCAGGCTGTGGGGGCTGTCACCATGGTTACGAGCATCCACTGTCAGCACCTGGGGAGAGCGGTGAGACGGGGCTGCGTTGGTATCCACATTCTAGGGGTAGAGAGCCAAAGGCCTCATAAGGAGAGCAGGTCAAGGGGTATGAAGATACACCCTGCAGAGAAGGGCCCAATTTCCAGACCTAGGAGGTCCAGATGAAGAACCTGGGGCCACTCTGCCAAAGAAGAGCAGGCCCCAGGGTTGTGACCACATCTCTTGAAGGGCTGGCCTGGCTGGGTGGCCATTCTGGAGAATGCTAGGTAGGAGACTCCAAGAAATTTCCAACAGTCGGAGCTCAGAAGAATGGGCTGCCATAAGAGGTGGTGAGTTCTCTGTCATCCCTGGTCAACAAGCAGGGGCTGGCCCCTTCATGGGAAGGGTGCAGGCGCCTAGGCATTGGCTAGCGCCGACGGAGACCTACAACATGAATTAATGAAGATGGCAACGTGAGGGAATGAATGGGGTTGCCATTCAGGGCTAATACTCTGCATGAGGGATCCGGAAGTGAGCGTGAGAAGCGGGCCCCGCCCCGCCTCCTTCCAGGCCCCGCCCACTCCCGCCCCGCCCCGCCCCGCAGGAGCCCCGCCCACACGGAAGCGCACCCTCCGGCCTGTCTGCTGGGCCAAGGCCTTAGCGATGGAGTTGAAGTTAGTTTTGCTGCCGAAGAGCCCGTGCAGAAAGACGACGGCTGGGAGGGCTGCATCCCCGTCCAGAAGCCTGTAGGACAGCGGCAGCGGCCTGGCGGGGCAAGGATCGGGGGCTGAGCTGGCGGAGCGGCGAGGGGGGCGGGTAGGAGAGGGAAAGAAGGGCTTTGCGGGAGAGGCCTGGGAGGGGGCGGGCCCAAGGGGAGGAGGTGGGGCCTTCGGGGCCCGGCGGGAAGGCGGGAAAAGGAGGACAGAGGATGGCCTCCGCCCCGGTGCCCTTGACTGACCTCGGCTCGGCGCCCCCTCGGCCTCTGCTGCTGCTGGGTGTGACGGGCACCCTCGTGAAGCTAGGACTGGAGAAGCCGAGCCCCGCATGGGGGAGCCTCCAGGCTCGGGTCCAGCGGAGCATGGTTGCAAGCCGGTGCCCGGCGTGCACCTCGTGAGGTTCGTCCTGCCCACGCTCCTCCTCCCGCTCAAGCTCGGAACCCCGCCCAGTTCCGGCTAGAGCCCCGCCCTTTCCCGCCCTCATCGTGGGATTCACCGCCCTCGATCTCGTTTCCTTACGTAATCCCCGGGAACAGTCCGGCCCCGCCTCCAGTCCCGCCCCTTACGCCATTACGTAATTCCCGCAGGCCTTGCGCCCGTCGCCCTGAGCGCCGCACCTGGCCACGCCCTAGGCGGACCACCCAAAGTGCTTGCCCCGCCCCTCGCGAAGCCCCGCCCCTCGGTTCCGGCCCTGCACCTGCCCTCACTCACTGACCTGGGTGGCTGCCATCCTTTCTGTGCCGGCGGCGCGGGAGGGCGGCGCCGGGGTGGCTCTGGGCGGCAGAGCGCCAGCGTGGTGGCGCCTTGCTCCACTGCTGGGGGCCCGGGCAGGACTTCCATCCTGGAGTCATCGATCTAGAAAGAGCTCGGGGGCACTCTAGAGCTCTCCCCCCGCCCCCCCCGCCCCCTTGGCATTTGGGGAAGCCTCCCCCAGTCCGATCCCACCTGCTTTTCCGCCCACACGCCCCCATTCTCGTACTCTCCTATCACACATCCTGCCTTTAGGTCTTCACGCCCTACCTCCTCCTGCCTTCCAGATAACCAGTTGCCCGAGTCCTGTACATTTTTTGAGGGAGGGTCTCACCCTCGCTCAGGTCTGAGTGCCTCGATTTCCTCGCTTAAGCTATCCTCCTGCCTTTACCTCCCTAGTATCTGGGACTACACGCACACAGACTAAAGTTGTTGTTTTTTAACAGAATCGTTAAAATTTTTTTTTTTTAGGCCGGGCGAGGTGGCTCACGCCTGTAATCCCAGCACTTTGGGAGGCCGAGGTAGGTGGATCACTTGAGTCCAGGAGTTCGAGACCACCCTGACAACATGGTGAAACCCAGTCTCTACTAAAAATATAA